ACCTATTTCTGTCAATCCCTCGGTTACTATCCCCAACTCAAATGCAGCTAGACCATACCCCATATCTTAATATGTCACTTATAACAAGTTTTCTAAGCCCCATCGTGCCTTTCTTACATCCATTACCTCTATTATTGATCCCAAAACCTTCTTGCAAGCATCTAAAGACCCAAATTGGCAGGAGGTGATGAAAAAGGAAATTGCAGCTTTGGAATCCAATGGTACATGGATTCTAACCACTCTACCTCCAGGAAAGAAATCAATAGAATTGAAATGGGTTTATAAGATCAAGTTCAAGCCGAATGGAGAAGTCAAAAGCTATAAATCCCGTCTTGTTGCAAAAGGATACATACAAATTGAAGGGGTTGACTTTCACGAAACCTTTGCATCGGTAGCAAAACTTGTTACCGTTCGTTGTGCTCTTGCGATAGCTACTAAAAAACATTAGGAGGTACATCAACTTGATGTAAATAATGCCTTATTACATGGTGACTTAGAGGAAGAAGTGTACATGAAAGTCCCTCAAGGGTTTCTCAAAACAAAAGAAGATTGTGTCTGCAAACTTCATAAATCAATTTATGGGCTGAAACAAGCATCCAGAAATTGGTACCAGAAGTTTATTAGAGCTCTTATCGATGATCACTTTCAGCAATCGAAAGCCGATCATTCTATGTTCATTTACAAGACTAAGATGAAACATGTTGTTGCTCTCATTTATGTTGATGGTGTGATTTTTATAGGAAACGACACTTGCAAAATCAAAGAAGTTAAAGACAATCTTCAGAAACAATTCAGTATCAAAGATTTGGGCCCACTCAAATACTTTTTAGGTATCGAGGTAGCTAGATCACCCAAAGGGTTTGTTATAAGTCAAAGGAAATACACTCTTGACATTCCTGAAGATTGTCATATGCAAGGGTGTCATCTCAGTGCTTTTCCTATGGAGCAAAATCTCAAGATGGAAAAAGAAGATGCTAGTCCAGAAGTAGATGTCTCAAAATATCGAAGTCTTGTAGGTAGAATTTTGTACCTCACTGTGACTCGACCTGACATATCGTTTAGTGTTAATCAATTAAGTCAGTTCTTGAGTAAACCAAGACAATCTCATATGGATGCTGCTTTTAGAGTTCTTCGTTATTTAAAGACTACTCCAGGTCAGGGTTTATTTTTGCTAGTTGAAGGCAATTTAGACCTAATAGCCTATTGTGATGCAAGTTGGTTGAGTTGTCAATCAACGTGACGATCTTGTACAGGTTATTTCATTAGCATTTGTGGTTCACCTGTCTCTTGGAGGACGAAAAGGCAGAGTGTTGTTGCTAGCTCTTTAGCAGAAGCATAATATCGATCTATGGCAAGTACAGTATGTGAAGTGTTATGGCTAAGGTGATTACTTTGTTATCTTGGTGCTGCCCAGAAGGGAGCTACTTCGTTAATGTGTGACAACTAAGTCGCTCGTCATATTGCAGCTAATCCTATATATCATGAATGCACAAAGCATGTAGAGATAGATTGCTACTTTGTTCGTGAGTGAGTGTCCAGTGGAGAAATACAAACTTTTGATATTCATTCTGAGCATCAACCTACATACATTTTCACCAAAGCTCTTGGTGCGGACTGTTTTCAATATCACCGAGGCAAGTTGGTTGTTCGTGACCTTCACAGTCCAATTTAAGAGGGAGTGTTGACATTATTATCTTTGTTCCATTAATTATCTTATTTATTAGTTGTCATATTTATCATTTCCTAGTTTATCTAGGTTTCTTTTTGCTGAGTATAAATACGTTTGGGTTGTATGCTTTCATGATTATGAATGATAATACACAGTAATGCCCAACTCATGATTATGTATATCCTTAAAAATGTCAACGAACCATTTTCCATCTTTTCACTATTAAAAATATTAGATTAGTATTGTGTATTATTTTTTAGAACAATAAAAATCATTATTATTGATACTTATCATTTACCTATATGTTTCTTGGGACTTTATTTCCTTATACTAATTTATTGGATTATCACTAAATTTGGGAAAAAATCAAAACTATATTTAAGTTGCCAACAAACCTATTTTATTTTTTAAAATGTTAACCAACTAATGTTTTTTTTTTGTATATTTATATGAGATTGCTTAATCTATCTAAGATTGAACATGTCAACTCTCTTTCAAATCATACACTTTTGGCTTAGATTGTAAATTTTGTTAAGACTTTGGTCTGAACATTAAATTTTACTTCATCCCAAATTTAGTTTGATTTATAAATTTTTTTATATGACTTTTTAGAACTTCTTATAACATTTTTTAAGTTGTTTTCTTAATTTTTTAAGACATTAAATTTCTTAATTTTTTGAAACTTTTTTAAGACTTGGGTTATATTTTTTTAAACTTTTATTTTACACTTTCGTATAATTTTTTTATAACTTTCATACAACCCTTTCGAAAGTCTTTTTACAACATTTTCAAAATGTTTCATAGATTTTTATAGCTGTTTTTTATAATTTTTATAACAATTAAAAATACTTTCAGTAAAGATAAATCGTATGAAAATGTAAAAAAAAAAAATTAAAAATATAAAACAAGATTAAAACGTTATATTAAAAAACTATATAAAAAAGTCTATAAACATTTTGTTAAGGCATAAGTCTTGTATATGAGACATATGTAGATTAAGAAGTAGTTAGGAGCAGTTTAAATTTGTTGTTCAAAAAAATAAAAAAGATGTAATTTTCTAAAATATTTACAAAATACTTTTGTTTAAAATGTTATATTAAACTTATATGAGAGTATAAAAAAATTAAATGCTTATAACCCAAGTTTAAATTGTGGTATTAAAAAATATAAAACAACTTTATAACTCTTTTGTAGCCAAGTATAATACGTAGTAAATTTTTCCATAAAAAGTTCTAAAAATGTTGTAAAAGATATATTTAAAAAAAATTAAGAAAATAAAAATAAATCTTAAAAATATTGTAAAACGTTCTTTAAAAAATTGTAGAAAATAAATTTATAAACTATACAAAATTTAGGATGAATTCGTAATAAAATTTAATATTCAAATCAACATTATAACAAAGTTTAAAATCTAGACCAAAAGTACAAAATCGAAAAAAATAAAATATTCTAGGTATATGTTTGTGAATAAGGAAAGTAAAGTCTTGTAAAGAAACGTAAAGCTAAAAGATAAATATTAATAATAACGATATTAATCTAATAAAAAAAAAGACAAAAACATCACTTGACAATTGAAGTCAAGTTATCTAATGTGATGTTTCATTGCACCCACACATAAACCACTACCCTTCACACTTTTAAGGCGTTTGACTGTTAATAAACCTCATCTGTCATCTTAGATATTCCCAATTACCAAATGCATGTAAAAACCACTCATCAAGTGTACCAAAAGTTTCACATTCTAATTTTAAACCATTATCTTCGTCTTCATCACATCCAAGATTCACATCCACATCATTTGTCTTCACATTCAAATGATAAATTCCAAATAACTATTTGTGTATATGTCTTGAATTATATAATTTTTAAAGATACACTCACAGTGTTATGCATTCCATATATCAAAGAAATGGTACGTGTACAAAACAACAAAATCAGACAGGTGATTATACCGAAGGCGACATCTTCTTTTTCGGTTCTACCCCTAACCTTCTATGTGTGTGTGTGTGAGTATATATATATATATATATATATATATATATATATATATATATATATATATATATATATATATATATATATATATATATATATATATTAATGAAAATGGTTAAACATATATGAATTTTAGATGTATTGTATTCATTCCCAATTGAGTGGGGTTCAGTTACCCTCATAGCATGTGTAAGGCCTGAGCTAAGACAAAACAAGGTAATAAGGGATCAACACTTGAACAAACTCAATTGGCTGAAACTTTGATAATAGTAAAAAGCTGGATAACATTTGGCAATTGGCATATTGTACCTCAGTCCCATAAGCATGGGCTGGGACATGCCTTCTACAGTCTCTCAGTCAATAATTGACTCCACCCATTATATATGCAGGTATAATGTAATATTTTTTAAGTTTAAAGTTTCCAATATCACATTCAAAATGAGACTTTCAAATATCACCCTGCTTTTCTTCGTCTTTGCAATTCTAGGTCTCTTTTTTGTCTCTCAAATCAAAGATTACTCTACTCATGATCGACTCATTTCAGTTCAATCAAGGAGACGCCTGAGGACACTACAATACCCCAACCCTCATTTCAACAAGGTACGAATAAAGTGTTGTTGGATAAACAATTTTTTAAAACATTTGAGAAAATTATGACTTGTTTAGGTAAATGAGAGGAAAGTTGTAAAAGTAATGATTTTTCTCATGACTTTCTGTATTAAGACGTTCTTTCTGTATGCGTATGTATTGCAGGTAGATGCGAATGCAAGATCTACAAAGCAAGCAAATTTGATGTCAAAAGCACACGATGAAAATGAAATGAATAATGAAGATGGAGAGATTGTTTACAATATTGATTATCAGGGTGTGAAAACTCACCCGAGTCCGAATCCCAAACATCCATAAAAGTTGAGCCAACGGGTCACCGGCTTTAGCCAAGGACATCGTTTGTGCACCATCTAGAATCAACCGTACATTGTATCGATTGATAATTTTTACCATATGAAATCAACATACTTTCCATTATACCCTTTATTCCTTTTTTTTTTTATTTTTCTTTGGTTTTGCTTTCTCTTACATAAAACTAGGTTCAAGAAGACAAATGTTAGTAATATAAATATAAATTAGTTTTATTTTAGGCTTAAATGCAAGAAACAACTTATTTTAATTGATTTGTTTTTCATACCATCGTACTTCAATTTCAAAATCTTATCCAATTATTACCAATGTCGTCCAAAAAATGAAGCAATTTTAATTGGATAGATGTTTCAAAGTATATTGTCCAAATAAGTAAAAAAAATCTTATCCAATTATAAAAGAAGAAACAAAATTACAATGCCATAACAAAAAAAATGTTTGGAAAGTACATTGATATATCTTGATATTGAAACAAACAGCCTGTATTAGCAACTGCAATTCAAAGCCAACATTCCATTGATGTATTGTTTTCGCATCCTCCTATATTTTTCCAATAGCTCATTATAACAACATACCACATCATCAAATAGTAATACCACCTTGTTACAGAATTCAGACTTTATCATCATGAAAACAGCTTCAACTTTTTCCTTTTCATGAATTAGTAAATGAAACATATCTTCCATCTCAATTGAGGGCCTTTTCTTGTCAAGATGATCGAGCCATTTAAAATTTTCAAATATATCTTCGTGTTTTCCAAGAACATTGGAAGCAATATCCTTAAAATTACTTTCGGCATTAATTTTACTGATCAAATGGTTGAAAAGTAACTGTTGGTGAGTCTTTAGCCAGATTTGGGGAACTGATTGATATGAAATTCCACCAACCAAACAAGCCTTTCGAAATGTAGGATCAATGTCACCAATGGACTTGATTGCAATGTGCATTAAGTGCATTGCCACGTCATCAAGATTCAAAGATGAATGTTTGAAAGATTTGTGATTGGAGATTTTGTATCTCTGACACCAATGATGGAGTGCTACATGAATAAAGCCTTCCCACCTGTAATTTTTTCTTATTAAGACATTGTACTTTGAAAAATTTATCTAATTATAGTATTGTGGTTTTAGTTTTTTTCTTATTAGGATATCATAATAAAAAAATTAATGAAAGCACGTTGTTATTTCTTATTAATAAATAAATTAAACATAAGATTAATGATTGGTTTTTAATGAAAATGAATATCAGTGTCTACATCAATTTTTAATTTGCATTATTATTGGAAGCTAGAAGGTTCTTTTTTCATCAATGATTAAAATGGTTTTTTTTTTTCTTTTAATTCAATGATATCATAAAACTACCATAAATAAGTCTTTAACGTTATATAGGACAGAATCTCCATGTAGGATAACACTAACTTTTTTTTTTGTAAAAAGGTGGAATATGGTGTGATTGGACTTGCTTTTGATCTCTCATGTATGTAAAAGAGGTAAATACCCTCATTAACATAACGTTGCCTAACAAGTTTTGGAAGCTTAAACTAAATAGTATATTTCTAGAGAAGTAAGAAAAGATTATTGCATGAAAGATGTTAGTTCCAAAGATAAGATTGATGTGTTTGTGTTTTTGTTTTTGTGTGTGTATGTGTGCCTTGGTCCACATCACATGTTGATACTATGTATTATTATGACAAACATTGACCAGTCCACATGCATCTCTAGGTTTCTTGTTTTGAAAGAACATTATTCATTAAAGTAGCAAATATCCCAACAGACACAAAAACTAAGAATCGACACATAATAACAACCAAAGGAAGAGCATATGTAACTTAAATAATATCAAAATATAATGCATTGTTTTATAATGAATGGGCAAAGCTACCATGAAAATGCACACGTTAGAAAAAAGGCACATTGTGTTTTTCTGTATTTTGTTCTTTTTCAAAACCAGGTAACTGAGAAAAATGGTATTTTATAAAGTCGACAATAATATAATGATTTAATCACTAGAAAAAATAGTTAAGTGTCGATAAAATGATGAAAGTAATTTTTTTTTTTTTTTTTTTGTAATTTACCCTAAATTATTTGCCTAATATAGACAACATAACAATCAACATTATATGGGATGGGACACGTCACAAAAGAACAACTATCATGCCTGGCATCAAGATATATCAGTTTGACCATTCAAAACAATCATATATACAGTTGATATTGTACAAAAATAATACTATTTTGTCTATAAATAAATAAATAGTACATACTTGAAGGGTGAACCTCAAACATGTAACAACCATGGGTCCAAAAGCAAAATGATTAGATGATGATATCATATAAAGTTAAGCATTTAATGTTGCTTTTTATTTCATGTTATTGTTCCTTTTTCTACCTAGCATCTACTTGACAGATCTTTTTATTGTGATTTCCTGCTTATGATATCATCTACAAGTCTATCATATAAAGGAAAACCAAATTCAAAGTGTAATCATATGTTTTACTGTGGACACGTGTTGAGCATTTGTGAACATTATAGGATATTAATTAATTATTACCTTTACAAAGTGATGATAAATCTAACCATAGATATTGTTTTTGTCAAAGCAAGTAAGGCCCTATTTCTTTTTTTCTTTTTTTTCCCAATTAAGTGTTGTTTGGATAAATGGTGTTTAAAAAACATTTGAAAAAAAATTTATGAAGACTCTGCATAGTAGAAGTAAAAAACTTACTCAAACGGAGGCTCAATCTCAATAGCAAGAGTAAGATGCAAGGAGTATTCCACATCTTCATTTGCTTTGACATCATCAACTATGGTACATGCCTCATGAGGAAAGCCTCTAGGAATGTATAAAATGTCACCTTCTCTCAATAAATACTCTTTACATCCATCCATCATATCATTTTCATTTTCATTTTCATTTTCACCCTCTATACAATCATCAAGAGGTGAATATAAACGAGGTAATAGTGTACCCAAATTGGGAAAAACCTTCCATTTTTTAACTCCTTGAATTTGGCACACGAGAACACAATGGTCATCACGATGACGAGCTAACCCTTGGGAATTTGGTGGGGTTAAGTACATATTTACCCCTGTTGATGGTTGACCAAAAAGAAAAGCTAACCCTTCTGAAATAGATGCAAAATCTTGAAAATGAAACTCCATCCCACGAAGGGCAAAAGTGTAACCATTGTTAAATGCATTTGAAATAGAAGCAATATCTTGAAGATTTGAAGAGCCTTGAAGAAAATGGTTTTCTATTTTAGAATCGAGGGTTTTAAGGACACGAATATCTTGTTGGTAGATTAAAGGGCAACCGATTTCTTCTCTTGATTCTTTTAGAAAGGTGATTATATCGAGCTCATCTGAACTAATTGGTGGAGTAGAAACAAGATTTTGAAGCAAAGAAGCAAGAAATGAAGGAATGGAATCTTTAGAGGCGAAAAGTTGTAGAAAAGAATTGAAAATATTATCGGGTGATGAAGCATTTGAGGATTCAGTTATAAGTAAAGGTGATTCTTCCCAGTGGTTTATGATAAAAGATTCAAAATTCATCTGACCCATGTGAAAGATACTCCTTTTAACATCTAGGAACTTGGATGATGTGGCAAATGGTCCTTCTTCCATTGAGAGCCTGAATAAGGTTTCAGCTAAATTATTAGGTTTAATACTGCTTGAATAGAGAAATTTTTCAGATTCCTGATTGGAATCTATTAGAGTATGTTTGTGTACTTTTGCCCATATTCTTGACAAATATTTTATAAATTCTTTGAGGAGTTCTCTTGGGATCTTCACTAGCTGCTCAAGTGTGCAATCATTGATGAGAGTAATTGCAAGATCAAGAAGTAATATAGGGTATTCATCTTCCATAAATCCTATTTTGAAGCAAGTTTTATTCCCCACTTTGTCTGAAATTAGGGAAATTGGAGGTGATGAAGATTTAGGGACCTGAAGGAAACAAAGACTAAAGGATGTTAAGTCAACATATATAACTAAAATTTATATCATTCATAACTACACATGATATTTGGGACTCTAGAAATGAAGAATCGTAAGTATATCTAATTGAGGCTCTTTTTACACATAATTAGGTTATCAAACAACTTATCCATGGACTATTCCATGCCTTTAAATGGGCTAGTTATAAAAAACAATTCAATCCAACTCTATACAGCTGTCTTCCAAATGAATATCAGTCACTTAAATGAAATCATATCCATTAACCATGGTCCATTTATGCTAAGGCTAAGATTCTATTAACAAAATACAAACCAATTATATCATTTAGGTTGGTTAAGTTTTTATTGGCATGAGTTTTATGCACTTGGATGTAGGTTACACAGCCACCCAAATTAACATGTTTTATTTGGCCATTGGCATTTAGCACTTGAAGCATAAACAGAAAGCCAATAACATGCATGGATTCTTCTGTTTTTTCCCAAAATAAGTACTTGCTTATAAATTTTAATGTAATTTAAGCCAATAGATATACAATTAGCAGATTGGCAGAGCAGATGCAGATAAGCTAGCATGAAATATAAAGATTTACAATTGTCAAAATAAACACATCTAATTTTATGTTTGTTGGTTGTGCAATTTGTAATGTAGTCAATGCAGGAGTATGGAACATCTAAATCAGTCTGCAACTGATGAGATTAACAGATTATACAAATCAAATTTTTAGAGTTTGTGGATATTTAGTGAAATATGAAACTAAATGAGATGTTCTGTTAGGAGACAAATGCAACATTCATATGTCTTTCAAGTTCTTGAAAATTCCAGTAACAGCAGAGACCTTTTTACAACTGAATGGAAGCTCATTACTGGTTAATAAAGCCAATAGCATGGATTTCTAAGGAATTTTGCCAATGGATAAGTAGAATAAACTTTCCTAGTGAAATTGTTAACTGATGGATTCTCTTGTTCTTGAACTCAATTTCAATAACATTATTCCTCAGCAAACATAGGGACAGATGAAGTCCACTTAGCAGATGACTAAAAAAAGTAGTTGATGCTCACATAAGATTGTCAATGGCAGAGAATTCCAGTAATTTACACCGCCCAACGGAAGTAGTCAACAAGTCAAGAAGGGCATTGCAAGCTGCCATGGCTACGCTCCTCCTAGAACTTGTCACCGCTGTAATCAACCCCTTAACTATTTCTTCATCCGATGCAATTTGTTCATTCATCTCAATTGAGAACAGGGAAGCTGCACCCACTGTCTCCAAACCAGAACAAGCAACCACAGAGCACCTGTAAATAACGATTAAACCCAAGCAACACCAAAATGAGGCTTTCAGAATTGATTATGAAACAGATGGTGTGCATTATTAAATATATCGGATGATCTCTATAAACAGATGATATCAAAATTACTTGGAATTGAGGAGAACAGGGAGCAAGGAGATTAAAGGAATGTGTAGGGTTTGTTGAGACTGCATGACTGAATTGGGGGATTTGGAGAGGAGGGAAAGAAGAAGGTGGTCTAGGGCTTTTTGGATAACTAGGGTTCCTTCTGATGTGGCTCCTAATTCATGGTTCGAAAGAGCAGCAAGCATAATCCCGAAAAGGAGCTGAGCATCCAACTGTTGCATAGTATCGGAACAAGGAGAGGAAGTATTGGTCGATGAAGACGAAGAAGACGAAGAAGATGTGGTGGAGGAAGTCGTCCGGCGCCGGCGCTTGCCCATGATACCCTGCGGTTACCCAGAAAAAATAGTTTAACAATTTTGGATAAAAGTTTGATTCGGAGGTAGCTTTCTGGTGGAACACTGGACATAACATTAGTAACCGGATCGGATTGAACTGGATTAACATTACGTTATTAATGGGATCGGACTGAACCGGACTAAATTGGGAAGAACTTTTATGGAAAAAAACCGGGTATAAACATTTTTTGGGGTCGAATTCCAAAATATAGACACAAAAAATTGGATTTCCGGGTATAGACATGGATTCCGCGGAGGTAGCTCCGAGGAGTTCCGCGGAATGGCAAAATCGTAAATAAATCAAGGTATTAAAAATTTAAAAAAAAAAAAAAAAACTCAAGATCCATTCCGCGGAGCTACCTCCGAGGAATGAACTCATTCCGCGGAGGTAGCTCCGAGGAATGGATCTTCAGGAAAAAAATCACCTCCAATAATTCTTTTATGTAAAGATCTCCAATTAAAAAACCAATTTTTTTTCACCTCACATTCATTCCAAACATTGTCAACAAAAATTCATACTATCATAATATTTTCTTGAACATAATTAGTTGGAGAATGAATATAAACCCCGAAGAATCGATGTGAAAAAAAAATTAAAGTTCCATTCCTCGGAGCTACCTCCGCGGAATGAGTTCATTCCTCGGAAGTAGCTCCGCGGAATGGATCTTGAGTTTTTTTTTAATACCCTGATTTATTTATGATTTTGTCATTCCGCGGAGCTACAGTAGATTCCGCGGAGCTACAGTAGATTCCGCGGAGCTCCGCGGAATCCATGTCTATACCCGAAAATCCAATTTTTTGTGTCTATATTTTGGAATTCAACCCCAAAAAATGTCTATACCCGGTATTTTCCCAACTTTTATATAGGGTTTGGTGGGATTCAAAGCAGACAAACCATGATGGTGAAATTACCAAATAATCCTTAAAAATTAACATGTTATAATTCTAATTTTTTATAGGATATTTAAAATTTAATAGTAAAAAATATTGATGAATAATATGGCTTATTATTTTTGGGTGGTGTTATGGATACCCCATCCTAATGTAACGACTCGTCTTATTTAGATATTTTTTTCTTATTATTTTTGCCTCTAGAATAGTCTTTTCTATAAAGATTCTAAAAGATATCTAGAAACTCCATGGAATGCTCATGAAGAGACATCTTCTAGAAACATTCTAGAAAATGTCCCTTAGTTCTTAGTAGTTTTTCTTAACGGCAAATAACTATATATCTCATCTGCCTAGGATTAAACCCAGAATCTCCTAGTTAGTAATTAGATTAGAACATCCATGCTAGCTAAGTGGGCTAGCCCCAACTTGTAGTTCCTAGTAGTTCTTGCCTCTTGTATGTACAGGGATCTCCCATTTCATTTCTCTGCACCTTGTAATTGAGTTGAGTTCTCTAGAGCAATAAAGAGTTGTCAAGTGTTGAGTTACTTTCTTCCTTTCTTTGTTCTTGTGTTGGTATTTCGAGCTAGGCTGACTTAGTTTGAGAACTAAGTGTCGCATGGTGAGCTTTGGAGAGTCAAGACCGTGACAAGTGGTATCAGAGACTGTTTCAAGTAAAGGAAGGCATGGCGGGTTAGATGGAGAAGAATGTTACTAATGATGTTGGTGTTGTGACGAACGAAGAAAATCGAGGACGAGAGGAGATTCGTCAAGGTGCAAGCAAGGGTCAAGGTAAGTCTAAGAACATGTGGAGATCCTTAGATAAGAGACTTTCTGAGATGGAGACTTCCTTAGAGACGTTGCGCGATCAGGTTGAAGATGCACACCAACAAATGGGGGTGATGACATCGGATAATGATGAGATGCAAGACAACGTGAGCAATCAACAAACTTGGTGGGGACTTATGCAAGGAGATGTGTGGATTACAAGAGATGCTCCTTGGTGAGGTGGCTAAATTAAGTGAACAAGTGCAAGGTGAGCTCTCCACATTGACTCAAGGTGTACAATATGTGCATGCAAATTGGGCCCTTTGAAAGCGGGCGGTAATTGGTGAAGTAGGAGGCACCAACATCTACACTCAAAAGGTTGAAGTTCCAAAACCATCAATGTTCGTGGGGAAGAGAGAAGAAAGGGTGGTGGATGACTTCCTATGGGAAATGGAGCAATACTTTGAAGGAGTAAACATAGTGGATGATGATATGAAGATCAACACTACTACGAGGTACTTGAAAGACACTACGACATTATGGTGGCGATGTAGGCATGCTGACATGGAACGATGTACGTGTGTCATGAATACTTGGGATGATTTTATTCGTGAACTCAATAAGCAATTTTATCCAGAGAATGCAGTGATGGAAGCCAAGATCCGCCTCCGAAAACTTCACCAAACGGGGACTATTCATGATTACTTGAAGGAGTTCACAACCCTCACCCTCGAGATACCCAATCTCTCCGACGATGATGCTTTTGTCTATTTCTTTGATGGACTAAAAGGGTAGGCCAAGACAAAATTGAAGAGATGGGGAGTAAAACATCCTGCAACGGCAATCGCGGAAGCCAAAGACTTGGTCTATTTTCGGCCAAAGGGAACCTTCAAAATCTCAAGATCCTAAAAGGCGAACTTTAAGAGGGGTAGAGAAAGATCAATTTCATCCCAAGAATGAGGCCCCAAGAGTCGACGCCCCAAAGACCGATAATGTTCGGAGGACCCCCTTCAATAGCGGAAGAGATGCTCGCCCACCCAACCGGGTCGATGGTTGTTTTCTTTGTGGTGGACCACATTGTTGGTTTTTTATTCTTAAATCCGGTTTCACAACCGGTAAAATTGACAACGGAAGCTTTAAAAATGTTGATTAAAACTAAAACTATTTTACCCACCAAGGATCATTTTGCAAGAGTTAGAAAAATTAAAACAACCATAGAATGGAAGGCATAACAACCTTTGAAGACTTTGATCCTCATGGGAGGTTGGAAGTTGATGAAGTGTGGCATGAAACTCTAAAGCAAGAGTTCTCTACAAGTATCCACCAAGCAAGAGTAGAACCATCAAAACATGCTAGTATTCACTTGTAATTTGTTGTTCATAACCCTTTGAAATATATACCAAATATATGTTCAAAGGTGAAGCAACAAATGGGGCTTTGTCTAGTATCAAAATGCAAGAGAATGGAGGAGAAGAAGAGGGCTTAAATCTCGAAATTTGGCAGCCCTATATGAGCACCATGCTCACGGTTTTGCTAGCCAAGAAGAAGAAGAATGAAGGCTTTTAAGCATCCCATCTAACCTTCCATGCCCTCCCTTATATAGAGGCCGAAAAGCAAAGGGAGACCATAAAGTAAAAGAGGAGACAACTTTTTTCCCCAAACTTGGTATGAATAGACAAGGCATGCATGCATTGTCTCCTCCTCGATTTCGAGAAAAGCATGTCCAAAAGAAGACAAAAGTTGTCTCATTGCTAGTTTATATACACACATGTTATCTTTATAAAATCAATCATTTTTTTATAAAGAATTCCCAACATATATATATATATATATATATATATATATATATATATAATATATATATTATATATAACTAGTCATATATATAATATTTTATTTTATACAAAACTATCTTTTACATAAATTGTAACTAGCTTATTTTATATAAAGCTATCTTTTATATAAATTGAACTAGTTTATTAAGATATAAATATAACTTATAAATAATCATACTTTAGATATATTTCATAAGTTGTTATTTCTCCAATAAATATTATTTCCACAAATAATAAATTCCCAATTAGTAAAATATTATTTCCATGAAATAATAATTGTCCAATTAAATACAAGTGTTGATATATTTATTACTAATCAAATTATACTAATAAATAATCAATTGACGGTAACTTGTTATATGGTGTGACCCTATAGGATCATATATTATTAGCAATATCATTCTATAATGACTCTTGGGCATACTAGATTTTTCAATCTCCCACTTGCACAAGACTCATCATAGATTGATACAGACAGTGGTGAACGTCTAGCAACATTTCACTGCCCCCAATAATATATGACGAAGAATGCCATTCATCAACATCCAATTCCTAAAAGCTCAAAGCTTCAATTGATGTATTAAGGTAAGTTTATCAATTATCCATTTGTTACAGACATCTTGTTGAAACATGAGCCTTGGATCGTAATCAATCTCATTTGTAATTCAACTTTGGGTAACGCGCGTTAGATGTCTAACTCTCAACGAATAAGAGGAACAAATCCCATCTTGACTACATAAGCCTCTTGTATAGTTCATACCATACCCGAATATGACTTTTATAACTGCCCGGGTTAAGGAACAACATTTGGTCATATCAAAGCACAGTACTCCCTATACTCAAGTCCCACTATGTATCTCAGGTGTTAATGATACAAAGATAGTACCTTTTAATCAAGTATCACTCATAACTGCGATCTATGAGATGATCTTGATGCGGGTCCGTTCAGTACTAGTTCTCTGACAAGTACTGTTGGAACAAAGTTCTAATAGGATCGATAGATTCTAAGCAGATAAACAATTAGAGACGCAATTAAGAACACAGGAATGGCTTTAAAGATGTCGTATGATTAAACTTTAACACCTCAGAAGAGCTCGAGTAAGAACTTCGACTGTAGAGGTGTTTAGGGTTACAAAACAATAATAATGATAATCAAGAACGTATCTAATGCATACATGCATGCACTATTTATAGTTTAACCCTACTAGATAATCACGGATGGACAGGCCCAATCCGGATATACAAAATAAGCCCATGACGCAACACAATAATACCCAACAATCTCCCCCTTTGCGTCAATGGAGCCGAAAGCTCAGTTCGGTTGAGCTATAGAAGACTTCTTGATTGTCTTGAACACCTTCGGTATGATGGCCAATAGATGATGACGAAAAGTAATGTACCACCGAAGCATGTTCGTGACGTTCTTCTTGTCTGCCTCAGAGTTCTGCTTGCACCGATGGATGATACTGATAATGTGCTCTAAGCAGTCTGTTGAGAACAAATGTTTATCAACTAGAGCGAACAGAAAACGATTGGCTTCGCCTCTTGTGAACATTACTGTAAGATGTGTAGAATCGATTTGGCCCATCCTCATTTTATTCACATCTCCAGGTTTTTCTGTTGGCTTAACTGTCGGTTTCTTCTTCATAACTTTAGCTATCTCCTGATCCATTGCAGCTACTTCATGGATATAGGAGGCCAACATCCTCTTCAAATGATCCAGGATCGGCTCATATTCTTTGGCATTGGTGAGCAGAATGTTAAACAACAAGATCCAGTCATGAGGATTCAAATTTGGAAGGTCTTCCAGGGAAATAACCGAAACCGAGTTTGCTGATCCTCGGGTGATCCTTGAAACTAACATTTATAAATTTCCCAGCAGGCGAAGGTTTCAGTACCTTGACAGTAACTATCTTCTGTGTACTCCATGTCAAGTACTGGGGTTGACCGAACTTCAAATAGAAATCAATAAGTTCGCGATCAACTTTTGGATGAGGGAAAGGAACTTCAACAGTCGAATCAAAACAATGAAATGTGAATGCCTTTCGTGTTATCGGCATATCGAACTGTGAATCCTTTGAATTTTCACAATCAAAAGAAGCAACAGGTTCCAGCCAGTAGACGCTTGGAAACTCTATTGCCTCATTGATGAGTGTTTCTCTTGTCCAGAGAGGAAACAAGGCCTTTTTGCAGTTTAAGGCATCTTGTTCTTCCTTGTTCCTCCTTTCCCTTTCTTCAGCCTCCTTCGCAACCCTTAGGGTTTCATCCAATTATCTGTCCCTTTTCTTTCTTTTTAGGGCCTCAGCAATTGTCTCTTCTTCTTCTTCACTGTCATCATCAATTCCCTTCTTCTTATCTTGATTCCCGGAACCCGAAGCTTCATTACCCTTCGGTTTGGTTTTAAGTGTGACCTTCGGTTGAGAAGATTCGATTTTCATAGTAACCTTCGGTTGAGCCCCTTCTCCCCCTTGTTTTGGAGGTACGAATCTCTCCGAAACACCCTTCATTTCATGTAACATTGCAAGGGCAGGAAGAAGTTTTGAGGTCAGATGATTCCTTATAGTGAGAGTAAGTATAGGATCATGTGCACCAAGAAGATTGGTAAGCATATCCTTGACATCCCCAGCACAGCTTCTGAATACTGCGCGCTCAGTCTTCAACAGGGAGATTTCCTTTTCAGCTTGAGCCAACTGCACTTTCTGAACTTCAATAGTGGAGGCTTGGCAGGCAAGATCTTCCTTTAGAGCACTCTCCTGTGCTAAATCAGATCGGAGTGTTGAAAGATGAGAATTTACTGCACTAAGCAGAGAAGTATTCTTAGCTTGAATAGACGAACGAACAGCCTCAAACTTATTTTGCTCCTCTTGAAGTGATTTGGATAAGGAATCTACTGAAGCATTCACTTTGGTTGCATTGGAATCAACATGCCCTTTGAGTGATTCTAGAAAAATCTGTGAACTATGAACCATTTCTGAAACCTCAGTAATGGCCTTCTTGCAAGAAGAAGTAGAAGCGTCAACAACCTTCGTTGATTTGTCAAGAGCCCCAATATATTGCTCAAAAGCGGTGTCCATAAAAGCTTTGAGCACAACATCATTGTATGACTTGTTGGCAGCAAGCAATTTATCGAGCTTATCATCAATACTTTGCAATTGTTGTTGTGTGACGGGAGCTTCTTCATCGCCATCTGTTGGAAGCCGATAGGGACTGTAATAAGTCGAGTCAAACTCAATATTATCACCACCGAGAGTGGCACCGGAATCGGTTGAAGGTGAGGGTGAAAGAGGTTTATAAGTAACAGGAGGTTCTGTTTCAGTATTCGCCCCCGTATCAGATACGTTGACGTTTACTGTCGGTTGGGTTGTAGTGGTAGTAGTGGCTTGGAAAATGATAGGAGGTGGTAAAGGAGTTGTAGAAATAGGAATGGTACTAACTGCTGGTGGTGGTGGAATAGAATTTGTTGTGTGAGATGTGGTAGGGGGGAATAGGAGCAACCAAAATTGGAACAATCGTTTTTGGTGGAGATGGAGGAGGTGTTGGAATCTTATCATGAAGAGGTTCGGTTGGAGTTGGTGATCGAGGAGGTGTGTTACCTCTCGGTGATTCATGATGTTGAATTTCCTCTTCTTCATCCTCCTCATCATTGTCTGAACTGGAAGGAGAAGGACTCTTGGATTTCTTCGCCATCTTCTTAATCTTCTTTGGCTTAGAAGAATCCCCTTTTTCAGACTGTTGCTTCCTAGACTTGGCAGGCTTAGACGAATCAGCCTCGGTTGTCCCTTTCTTGGTAGTAGCCCGTTTACCTCGGTTTGCAGGCTTCTCCACAGCATCCAAAGCAGCTTGCTGTTCAGGAGATAGTACTCTCGGTTCCTTGGGAGGAAGCTTGCGATAATCAGCCATCACCTTACTTTCGGGTGATACACACTTGTACATCGTCTCAGGTATGGAGCCATTGTGAGGGAACTTTGTGGGATCAGAAAAGATGATTTTCTTGGTGTGAAAAGTAGCTACAGACGAGACCAGGGCATCCTTCATTACCGGAATATGCAAAGAATCAATTGCCCTTCTCGTGATAATGGTCCAAAAGCGTCCACAAGAAATTTCTGAATGTCTCGTTGAAGTATTGAGACTTTGCACCACCTGTGACTAGATAATCGACCCATAGTCGAGATTTATCCCATTGTAAAGACCATATAGAATGGTCAGAAAACCTTTGCTGGTACCATCAGACCCAACACTCCTCTTCGCTAAACCCTTGTTGATAAGAGTTAGCAACCCATTCCATTGTGGCGGTAAGCATGACTTCTTAACATTCGTAACCGTGGTAAGCACATCAGTGTAGCCCATCTCGTAGAGCATCGAGAATAGTTGAGTAGTGGTGATGAAGTCAGGTGAGATCACAGACGAATCCACAGCAAGCTGTAACAGTGAACAAAATCTCCCTTTTGAAATCGAAGCCTTGTGAGAGAAGATTTGGAAGTAGATCCTCTCCTTGTTCTTGTCATATGAAGCAGTAGTGTAGACCTGCGATAGGAGTGACATTGGAACCCGATTCCACCTGTGTTAGGGCGAGAACTAGAGGTGAATACTTCAAGCATTCAACCACTTGTAACATGTATGAATCGTACAGAAAAGGGTTGAGTTGAATGATCAGGTTCTGGTTGGGCTTGATCGAGAGCAATGAGGACGAAGCAGTTTGATCTTGAACAGATGAGGAATGCGCCATTGTTGAGAGAAGGAAGAAGATGAACAGTTGCAAATCGCCTTATATTGAGAGAATTTGTTGCTGGTAAAGGTGACAAATGAGATTAGAAACTCTTTAAATACCGTTGCCAGGAGAGAGAGAAAAAAAATCATCATGATAATGACGCGGTCATTGAAACATCGCCTGAAAAAGCGCGATGTGACAGGTTGGTTGCACCCAGGTATACGTCAGCACGCGTGGGTTTAGGAACCGTTCAAATTCACGCGCCCAAAAGCTTATCCTAAATTCGTCGTTTGAAATTCAGCTTCGCTCCAAAAATTAGGATAACCATTTTTGCTCAGTCAGAATGTTGGAAAATCACATAGAATTTTCGTGCAATAGTGTGACAAAAGATAAAGAAATAAAGCAAAATGTGTATAGGATGTGAGTGATGTCTGTTAGAAGACATAAAGCAGATGATTCCGGGCAAGAATCGCTTCCTTCAAAGTCAAGAGAGACTTGAAGTGCTTGTGTGGATTCCCAAGAAAATACGATCGAGTGTTTGTAAAGAAACACCGAAAGGCTTCTTTTAATTTATAGGCTAAGGGTAGCTTATCTTCAACCGAACGTCGATTCTTAACATAAGACTGAACGTTGGAAGAAGTACTTGTGAGATCGATGTGGTCTGTTGAACAAGTAGGTTTGAAATAATTTATAGTGACTAAAGATATTATAAAAACCTCAAACAAAATAAACTGGATCTTTTTGGGTAGAAGTGCCTTGGTGTTAGATAATTTCATAAAAGACCACTAAAAAAATGAGATTTCATTAGGTAACCAGTAAGATCTTGAATATAATGATTCACCGTCAATTCATTGTTGGTGTTGGATTGTGGGTTTCACTCAGGACGTGGTGTACGTATCTAAGATCACAAACACAGATTTTATGCAACCATAAACCTCAGTGGTAAAGACCGAGAGTCTCAAGGGTTACAGTGGTGAACCGAAAGTTGATGGAGAATGTAAGGAGGGTGGTTAAAGAACCGAAAGTACCTCTGCTATATAAACATGACAAAGCAGAAAACTCTTAACTCATTTGAGAAGAGTAAGGTAGCTCTGGACTTGAGTTGATTTTAACAGCCTGATTGGGAAGAAACGATAGGTATAGATCGAATCATTAAGGCCTTGCTCTTAGTCGTAGAGGCTTGGGTCGACATGCAACAACATGCTTCTAGGGACTCTTAACTAGTTCAGATGAAAAGAATCATACCTGCCTTAGCTCCAAATTCTGTTGCACTGATATACGTGGGACCTAATTAAAAGAACAAGCAAACAAACATACCACACAAACAAAACAAACAAACAAACCAAACAAAAAAAACTTTTTAGAGAAAAAATATTTTTGGAGTTTTGAAATTTTCTGAAAAATAATAAAAACAGAAAAAGAAAAATAAAAATAAATTAACACAAAACACTCTTAAAAAAAATAAGAAAATAGACTTAAAAGAATAAACAAAATGTACAACCGAAACCAAACCTTAAAAGAATGAAGCGAAATAAGCCGAGCGTTCGGTTCATTTCGGTTCCTTAAAATTCCGGAGCCGAAATAGACCGAGCGTTCGGTTCATTTCGGTTCCCGAAAATTATGGAGCCGAAATAGACCGAGCGTTCAGTTCATTTCGGTTCCCGAAAAATCCGGAACCGAAATAGACCGAGCGTTCGCTCTATTTCGCTTGTCTAATTTTTTAGAGAGAGATTTGAGGATTCGGTACCGACTCTGCTTCCATCATTCCCAAGCCTTGTAAAATTTTATTGAAGCATGCTTCAGGTAAGGCTTTAGTGAATATGTCAGCCAGTTGATCAGAGGACCGAACGAAATGTACTTCCACGTTCCCATCTTCTACATGGTCCTTGATGAAATGATATCTAAGTGCAATATGCTTAGTCTTTGAGTGTTGCACTGGATTGTGACATATTCTTATCGCACTTTCTGAGTCACAATAGAGAGGTATTTTCTTCATACTTAGCCCATAGTCTCTTAGTTGGCTTTGTATCCATATTACTTGAGAGGTACAGGATGTTGCAGCTATGTACTCAGCTTCGGCTGTTGAAAGTGATACACAAGTTTGCTTCTTGGACTGCCAGCTAACAAGTTTTCCGTCAAGGAATTGGCATCCACCAGTAGTGCTCTTTCGGTCCAGACCACATCCTCCAAGATCAGCATCAGAGAAAGCTTGAATAAAAAATCCAGATCTAGCAGGGTACCAGAGACCGAGAGACGAGGTTCGCTTCAGGTAACGAAAAATATTTTTCACTGCCACCATGTGAGGTTCTCTTGGATTTGCTTGAAACCTGGCACAATAACAAACAGAAAACATAATGTCCGGTCTACTAGCTGTTAGATACATAAGGGACCCTATCATTTGACGATATAGTGTTATGTCAACAGCAGGTTTTTCCAGAGATGGTGTTAACTTAGTGCCAAATGCCATAGGAACCTTCACTTTCGAATCTCCCGTCATACCGAATTTTGCCAGCAAGTTCTTTGTGTAGGCCTCCTGGTTGATAAATATACCTTCTGGTCCCTGTCTAATATTCAAACCAAGGAAAAAATTAATCGGACCCATTGCGCTCATTTCAAATTTAGTCTCCGTCAACTTCCTGAATTCAGTCGTTAAGCTAGGATTCGTGGAGCCGAAGATGATGTCATCGACATAAATCTGAACTATCATTAGATGTTCGCCTTCTTTCTTTCGGAAGAAGGTTGGGTCAACCGAACCTTGCTTAAATTTCGACATTTTCAGAAAGCGAGTTAAAGTTTCATACCAGGCCCTCGGTGCTTGCTTCAACCCATATACAGCTTTATCCAACACATAGCAATGATCAGGGAATTTCTCGTTCACGAACCCATGTGGTTGCTCAACATACACCGTTTCTTCTAGTTCTCCATTCAAGAAAGCGCATTTTACATCCATTTGGAAAACTTCGAAGTTTTTGTGAGCAGCATATGCCAAAAAAATTCTAACTAATTCCAATCTTGCTACAGGAGCGAAGGTTTCCTCATAATCTATCCCTTCCTCTTGGCAATATCCTTTCACCACTAACCGAGCCTTGTTGCGAATGACGTTCCCCTCTTTGTCCAATTTATTCCTGAAGACCCATTTTAAGCCGACCACTGAAGCATCCTTTGGTGTGGGAATTAGCCTCCAAACTCGATTTCGTTCGAACTCATGGAGTTCATCTTGCATTGCTTGTACCCAATCAGAATGATCAAGTGCAACATTAACGGTCTTCGGTTCGACTTTGGAGACAAACGAATTAAACATACAGAATTCAACATTAGACAATAATGCAGTTTGTTTCGCTTTCAATTGAGAACGTGTGAGAACTTGCTCAGATGATTCACCAATGATTTGTGCTTTTGGATGATCCTTGGTCCATTTCGTTAGAGGAGGGTAATTTGGGTCATAGGCTGGATCCAACTCTGCATTTACTTCTTCTTCAAGTTCTGATTGATCACCTTCGTCAGTTGTATTCTCTTTCTCCCCCTCAAATGGCGAAGTGTATCCCTTGTCAGGTTCAAAAGTTTTCCTCCTCTGTGGTAGTCGGATTCTCCCCCTCGATTGGACTATTATTGGGTGGGTTTGGAGTTGGATGCTTCCCCTCGCCTGGACTTTTATGGGTTGGGGATGGAATTGGATTCTCCCCCTCGAAAGACATATCGGTTGTCTTTGGTTCTGATGAACTCTCCCCCTTGAACATTGAGCTGTTGTTTGGAGGGTCAGTTGAGGATTGATCACCAGTCGGTTTAGGAGGTTCATTTTCCATTTCTTTTGCAGCTTCATCTATGATCTGTTTGAGATTTTCGATTTTGTTGTCTGCTGCTTTCGCCTCTGAGTGTGCAGCTTTCTCTGGTTCATCAAATAGCCGAATGTACTCTTCAAACAAGTTGGATATAGGAACCGAGACTTGTCCTGATTCAGGAAATATTTCCCCCAAGGCACTTTCGCTCCTTTGAACTTTCTTCATGTACTTATCGTCAAAGGTTACATAATATGTTTCTTCAATTCGTTTGGAGCGTTTGTTCAAAACTCTGTATGCCTTTGAAGTAAGTGAATAACCAAGAAAAATTCCCTCATCAACTTTGACGTCAAACTTGTTTCGGTTCTCTTTGGAATTAAAGATGAAACACCTCGAGCCGAACACGTGGAAAAATTTGACGTTGGGCTTTCGATTGTTCAGAATCTCATATGGAGTGATTGAGAATCGTTTGTTGAGCAAGGATCGGTTCTGAGTATAACACGCTGTGGCAACTGCATCAGCCCAGAAGTATAGCGGAAGAGAAGCGAAGCTTAGCATGGTTCGGGCTGCCTCACATAAGGAACGATTTCGTCTTTCAACAATTCCGATCTGCTGTGGTGTATAGGGGGCCGAAAAGTTGTGAGATATCCCCTTGTTAGACAGAAAATCCTCAAAATCTTTATTCTTGAATTCCAGCCCATTGTCGCTTCTAATGTTTCTCACCAGCTTTCGCAGCTGCACTTCCACTTGCTTGATGAACGTCTTCAACTTGGGAGTCGCATCTGATTTTGTTTAAGAAAGAAAACCCAGGTGAAGCGTGAAAAATCATCTACTATGACAAGAATGAACTTACTACCACCGAAGCTTTCGATAGCCGAAGGTCCACATAAGTCAATGTGCAGAAGTTCAAGAGCTTCAACAATCTTTGTATTGATACGTGTAGGATGGCTCTTTTTGCTTTGTTTGCCCATCTCACACGCTGCACACAGATGTTCCTTATCAAACTTGAGAAGGGGAAGGCCTCGAACGTGATCACCAAGCACCAACTTATTAATGTCTTTGAAGTTCAGGTGCGATAGCGTCGATGCCACACCAGCTTTCATCAGTGTTCGCCTTTGATAGCAGGCATATTGCTGGTTTTCCTCGAATTGGGTTGAGATTTAAAGGATACATCTCTCCCTTGCGTTCAGACTTCAACAAAACCTTTTTAGATTGCTTCTCAATTATTTCTGAGCCCTCATCATCAAATGAAACCTTCAAACCTGTTCCCACAACTAATTGTGATACACTGATGAGGTTATGCTGCAATCCTTCCACATACGCTACTTTTCGAATCGAGAAGTCTCCGTTGGTTATCATACCATATCCTTTGATTGTGCCATACGAGTTATTACCATACTTCACACATCCACCATCCTTTAGGGACCGAAACTCCCTCAGCTCTTCCTTCCTTCCTGTCATGTGACGCGAGCAGCCACTGTCTATATACCATTCGTCATCGAACTGCTCGTCACTAATCACCTGCAAATTCAAGCAGATTTAGGAACCCAAAGTTTCTTGGGTCCTGGTGAGTCTTTCACAGAAAAAGGAATTGCAATAGAAATATCAACCAAATAAGTTCTTTTTATTATAGTGGATTAATCTTTTCTTTTGATGGTGTACACCTTGATTTTAGTTTTATCTTGTTTAAATTTTGGTGTATTCGATGGTGTGTTGTTAGATGGTTTTGGAATTTTCTTTTGAATCCTAGGGTTAGCTGACTTTTTCTTATTATTGAAATCAGAATCTGAATCAAGCTTTCCCTTTCCTTTGATGTCCTTCACTGAACTCGATTTTCTTTGGGAGTAGGAAGGACCGAAACTTGACTTTCGGTTGTCAACCTTGGCGTTGGAACCGAAACTGGACGTTCGGTTCTGAGCGCTGGTGTTGGAACCGAAACTAGACTTTCGGTTCTGAGCTTTGGAATAGTAGGAATTTGGACTGAAATTTTCTTTTCCTTTTAGCTTTTCCTTTTCTTTGGCAATTGGCTCTTTCTTGGAAGGAACGTAGTTGGGGTTTTGAGATTGCCAATAACGTTTTCGCTCATTCATATTTTTCATGTATCTTTGATTTCTTTGGCGTTTCTGTTCAGCTAACTCCTTCTGAGATTTGTGAATGTTGAAGCTTGATTTTGGCTTTTCCTTTTGAGTTTCGGTTGTCTTAGTTGGAACAATCGGTTTTCTCATTGGTTCTTCAAGGATTTCTTTTGTTCCACTTATGCTTGGTTTGTCGAAACTCGAGGGTTTGTTGATAGGTTCTGCAACATATCTTCCTTTTACCCTCCATGAGGTTTGCTCAGATAAGCCGATGGTTTCGTCCGCGTTGTCAATAGGGGCTGACCAGAAGTAATCATCGCACCCTTCAACATTGTCTTTGTCGACCAAGATTTTCAATTCTGCTGTTTATTTTGCAGTGACTCCTGTAACAGCATATACCTGATTCGGCATAGTTTGAACCTTTTGATAAACCATTGCTTTCTCTATGAGTTTCTGTGGCTTGTCCTTTGACAGGCGAACATATTCAACCGAATTTTCAGACATGAGGGGTTTCTCATTCTCGGTTTCGCTCTTCATAAACTCAGAGCAATCAACCACATCTTCTACTGAGATTTCGCTCATCTCACTTTCCTCATCAAATTCAAACGTATTTTCTATGTTCATTTTATGTTCTGAAATTAATTTGGCGTTAGACAAGTCAAATGATTGAATGGTTTCGGACTTAATTTTTAACCTATCATTTTCATCTAAAAGATTTTTGAGCATACATTTATGTTCCTTAGAGTCGATGAAGGTTTCTATTTTGTCCAGTCCGATTTTGTAAGCAATGGATGTTTCTTCTGAGGACATAATTGATTCACATTCAGCGATGACTTCATCCTCCTTAAATTCAAGGAAGGGTAAAATCATCTTATGAATCTTTTTCCCTATTTCACAACTTAAATGCAATTGAGCAATATTAGTATATAAGCGCTTAGCAATTAAACAAAAAACATTCCTTTGTTTCAAAAAATTTAAATTGTCTCGTTGCAAATAAATACTTTCATCCCTAGCCCTATTTAACTCCGTCTCCTTCAGCTCAATCCACATCCTTCTCTCCTCACTTTTTGAAGACACCCTGCTGAGTTGGTCAGTTAGGTTAGAATTCGCTAAGCGAGTTTGCATGAGACTACCACTTAAGTTAGAAAATTTAAATTTTAATTCATTTAATTCTTCTTCATAATTTGTTACTGGAACTTTAAGTGATTCAAGGATGGATTGTACCTTTTGGATCAGCCGATCACAGTCGTTGATCTTCTTGCTCACGGGCTTGGCTGCAAAGCACTTGTCATCAGTTAGGTTCGGCTCCTCACTTGCACTTTCGGTTGATCCACCAGCTGTGACCATCAAACATCTTCCAGCCGAACCTGCATCCTTTGCCACATAAGCTCTTCCATGAGTGGGCTTTCTCACCTCTTCATCCTCAAAATCGGTTGACCAAACTTCAACGCCACCGAACTCATCTTCATCTGCATTTTCCTGCACAATCAAGGCATTCATTGAACTGTTAGATGCCTTCTTTTTCTTGATCTCTTCCAACTTTCGCATGTAGTACGCCTCATCGTCTTCACCATCTCTTTTCTCAACCATCTTCCTCAGCATGCAGTCTTTGGCAAAGTGGTTCTTGCCATGACAGTAATTGCAGTCGAATCCAGAGTCTCTTGCAAGCTTGCTCTCCTTCTTGTCTTCATCCTTTTGAGAAGTATTCTTCGCTTCATCTTTCACCTTCTCAGAACTGTAACTTCCCTGCCAGTTTCGGTTCTTATTGACAGGAAATTTCCTTCGTGCAAACTTCTTTGGATTGGTGACCATCATAGCATATTCTTCGCTTGTAAGGTCATACTCAGACATATCCGACTCCTCATCTTCTTCTGCAACGCTTTTTCCTTTTGAAACAAGGGCCAATGATCCCACACCCGAAACTACCTTCGCCTCCTTGGTTACCACATTCTCATGGGACTTAAGTATTCCCACAAGTTTCGCTAGTGAGTAAGATTTAAACTGTTCATGAGCTTTCACTGTTGAAACCACTGCCATCCATTCTGGTCTCAAATCATTCATGAAGGTTACCTTTTGCTCGATCAACTTTCTTTCTATTCCATGCTTGATCATCTTACTTAGGAGATGATTGAAACGATCGAAGGTTTGTATCAGTTTTTCTTCAGGTTTCTGTTCGAAAACTCCAAATCCTGAGAGCAGCAAGGTTTGAATAGAGTGTTCTAGATCTTCATCGGTTGAGTAAAGTTCTTTCAACCTATCCCAGATTTCTTTGGCCGTCGTGCATGAACCAACTAACCGAAAAGTATCAGATTGCAGAGCGAATCTGATCATTCTCATGGCCTTCACATTACATAGCAACTTGTCCTTCTCATCCTGCGACATCTTATCTACGTCCGCCACCAGCTTATTATATTCTTTTTGAGTCTTCACATTCGTGTTCGTTCCTGAGT